TTATAATAAATAGCATTAATACAAATATTATGGTTAAGATTTAAACTAAACAAAATTAGGGTGTTTAAGCTGTGCTTTCCATAGCAGCTGATGAAACCCCCTTCTGCTTCAGCTCAAGGTGGTCTGTGCAGTGGGCTCATGGCATATCGTGTGTGGGACGTGGATGGGACAGAGTGAGACACTGCCTTGGCACACCGGGCATTGAAAGGTTGTCATAATGTCTCACTGGATTGCATGGGTTTGGATTCCTAACTTTTTTTTTTTTTTAATTAGGAGCAAAGTTTTCATTTCTTTTTCACTCAACCAGTTTGAGGATGGGCATGGGTAAGTGCCAGGGAGTGGGTGCTCCTGGCAGCACTCAGTGTGGAGACGGGAGGTGATGTGGTCATAGAACCACAGCGTGGTGTGGTTGGAAGGGACAGTGATGCCCCTGCAGAGCCTCACCGCTCTCTTAGTAAAAGGTCTCCTTCTCACATCTAACTCCAGTCTCCCATCTTGGAGTTTAGAAGCATTCCGCCTTGTTCCATCCCTGTCTGCACGTTGTGTTTCCTTGTGCAGTCGCAGAGATGAGTGTCTCACTGAGCACTGTCCTCCTCAAGTCTGAAGGTTTAGGTCACATTGTTTTTATAAGCAGGTTTCAGACTTTACAGATGCACACGGGATGCATCTGGAAAATGTCTTAATTAACCAGTGATAAACATCACGTTTTCATGCTCAGCTCTCTGAAAACCAGCCGTATGGGACTGCATGAAATGCTTTTGCTCGGCGGGGTGTTTGTCAGTGTCTAGCTGTGGGAATTGCTGCCCAGTTCACTCCTGAAGAACTGAGCCTCCAACTCTGAGTGTGGGTCGTGCTGGAGGACCCCCAGTGCTGTGGGGCAGGAGCTCTTTCCTTCACAGACTGCAGCATCGTGCAAACATTTGCTATCTTCCACGATGAAAGCCAGATGAATAATTGCTGCTACTTATACTATTGAACTTTCCAGAAGAAATTCTCCACTGGGTTAAGAACAGGCATGACAAATCTCAACCCAAAGGACACGGGGAAGGTGGCTGTTAGCTTCTAAGCAAAAAAAAAACTAGAGCTCTCCACGACAAACATCTCCACACCCGAAGCACTTGGCACTCAGTGGCCAACGGTGCAGCTTATGTGTTTAGTGCTGCCAGGAGAAAACAGGGAGCACAGCCATGCCTCCAGCCAGTGCCAGCACTGCCTGTTGGGTGCTGGGTGCAGCCCCTGCGCTGAATGCAGGTCTGGAGAGCAGACGGGGCTCCGACAGCATCTTTCTGCTCTGGGCAGAGCAGCCCTGGGTGGTGTGCAGATGGCAGTGTTGCTGTGTGAGGCGAAGTGCCCCTGCATGTGGTGCCCAGTGCCCTGCCTGTGGGTCAAGGGGGCTGTGGGGTTGGAGGCTGCTCTGATGATGCCAGAGGTCTGGGAGCACTACCTGTGATTGTGCTCCCCGCATGCCCAACGTGGGGGCCAGAGGCATATTCAAACCTCAGAGGAATATTTGAGGGGGGGGAAAAAATGTGTTTTCTTCTCGAACTAATGCAAAAAACAAAGAGCTTGTTTCAGTGCTTGCCTCCACTTTCAAACTGGACGGGATCCTGGATTTTTTAAAAGAAAACAAAGCATATTTCAAATACAGGCATTCTTTTCTTCTTTTTTCCCCCTTCCAGTTGCTTTCTGCTTGCTGACAGAGCTTTTGGAGCCCTGGGGAAGGTACATCTGCCAATGATAATCTCAGCGCTTTGGGAAGCCGGGAGCAATGGGGGGGTGGCGGGGGAGCCTCTGTGTCTGCTCACCCAGCAGGGATCGGGGCTGAGCCTGGGCCCACAGTGGCACCTGGACGGGAAAAGAGCAGCTTTGGGCTGGATGCACATCTGTCCTCACCTCCCCTTTGTCCAGCAGCTTCAGGTGCTCAGGGCACACCTGGTGCTGCATTCCGTAAGGACTCAGGCAGTTCTCAGCACTTCTGCAGGCAGCCGCCTTTGCAAGCTTATGAACAGTGGCTGACAGCTCCCAGTTTTGCTCCTGGGTGAACTGAGGCAGTGAGACAATTAAGTGGCCTGTGGGAGCATCGTGGCAAAGCCCCACTTCCCAGAGACAGCCCAGGACACACCAGGGCCAGAGGGGATGTGTCAGAGCCGTGCCGTGGTGTTGGCTTGATGTTAACCACTAGCCAAGAGGCCTGACAAGTGGCAGGAGCCAGAACCTTAGCGGTGCCCTCCTGTGCCTTATCAGAGGGCAATAAATCTTGACTGATTAGTTTTTTAAATTAGAATTCTCGGCAAATAAATGAGCTGCCTGCGCGGTGATAATAGCCTGCTTGGAAAGCAGCTCTGTGTACTGTGTAAGTTGCTGGAAGTCATCAAAACCATCTTATCCCATGGAGTCTCCTGTGCTGAACTTGTGTTTACAATATCGGACAGAAAAAGGAATTTTTCAGTGGATATTGTCTGATAACTTTTTAGACAAGCAGCAGTGTAATTCGGGCCTCTCTGCGTGAGGCCAGGCTGTCTTTGCTGGCTGTGGAGGTTTGGCAGCCTCCTCTCCATCCATTTCTTACTGTTTTGACACATTTTGCTCCAGTTTAAATTATTCCGCTGAAGTTTGGTGGACTCTGAGCATCCCATTCTTTGGTTGCCATTGGCCCGCAGGTCAAGCTGTTGCTCAGGTGATGAGCACACCGCTGCTGCTCCTTATCCTGTGGTACAGGGCTGAGTACGAGGGACAGCTGGGAAGGATGCAGGTTCTGATCACACGGTACCACAGACTCACGGTATGGTTGGGTTGAGGGGCCCTTACAGCCCCCAGCCCTGCCATAGACTGGCTGCCTCCCAGCTCAGTTTGCCCAGGGCCCCTCCTTGGCTTTGGGCACCTCCAGGGATGGGCACCCACAGCTCTGGGCAGCAGTGCTGGGGCCTCTCCGCCCTCTGAGGAAAGAGTTTCTTCCCAACATCCAACCTGAATCTCCTCTCCTTTAGTTTAAAGTCATTCCTCTTTGACCTGTGATTATCAGACTGCATAACAAGTCACTCTCCCTCCTGTTTACCCATTCCTTATAAGTACTGGACGGATGCAATGAGGTGTCCCTGGACGTTCTTCCCCTAAGGGAATCTTCTGACAATACTGCTTGCTGTGATTTAGCATTGCTTTTTTTGCATCAGCTACCTTCTGCTTATTTTAGCAAGCTTTTCTGAATAATTATTACTAGAATAATCACCAGTCCTAAGCTGGACTAGGAACAACCTCTCCAAGGATGGCCATAAATATTCGATCACGCTTCACAGTGCCGTTCGTTTCCCCCGATCTTCGCCTCTCTCCTTCCTTTCCAGCTATCATCTCCTTTATAAAGATCCCTTTGTACAGTTCCTGCTAAAAGTCAGGGCTGGATAATTGACCCATTTCCTGCATGCTGTTTTGTGCACTCCTTGTGCTGACACTCATCTCCATTGCTGTGCGTCGAGGTCGTCTCTACTGGAGAAGAGCAGTAGCTGTGCCCACGGGTCAGCTCTTGGAAAGAGCTGTGCAAAAGCCAGAGCTTGGAATGCAGTGTGCTGGCAGCGCGCAGTTGTAATCGCTTCCTTCAGCAGGAAAGGAAACGTGTGCTCTGCTGAGTGATGCTGAGACCATGCTCTGTAGAGAGCACTGGAGGAGAACCTAGAAGTGATTCGGATTAAACGGCCGCATCCAGCATTAGGTAACCATGGAAAAAATGCAAGCTGAACTTGAAGCCCAATCTCCCAATTGTGCGTGTGTGAAATCTCTTGGCATCTCACATCTCCTTTCTGAAAAGCTGGTATTTTTAGATTTACGGCTGGAGGCCGTAAAACTGTTCTGACATGAACCCAAGCTATGCTGCTACCTTAAAAAATGAAGTCTTAAATGAGAACTGAAACTTACTGAGCTATATTTCAATGACAGTATAGCAGAGCACTTTAACATGTGCATGGAAACATGCCTGGGAGGAAGGGGAAAAAAACTGAAAACATCTCTGAAACTGGAGCTCTGCTCCGAAACTGAAGCACTGCATCGCTTACCCCTCTCTGGAGCTGCACCCTGGAGAAATCAGCTTTGCATGCGAGGCGATTGCAGCGCAGCTGTGAAACCCAGCTGAAATGTAAACTTCTCTTAAGTGTTCACGGGAGGCTCGCATCTGTGTCTGTGCCTGATTAGCTAGAATTGTGAAACTGCAAGCTTTCTCCTTGCCAGTTCTTTCCTCCTCACCTTGACCTATGGCTTCGCTCCCTCATGCGCTTTGTCTTTGGCTGGAAACTGCCGTTCCCAGGTGTGCTGCACGGCAGGACCCTGTGCCCCAGCTGCAGCCCACGCAGGGACTGAGGGCGGCTTCTGATGGCAGCGGGCGTTCGTGTGCACACAGCTCACCTGGGGCTGGGGCGACGCACCGGGACTGGAGGTGCTTGTGGGCGCTGCTGTAATAGGATTTTCATGATGGTTTGCCTCCCCTGTCATGTTGTTTCAAATTCCTGACAAGCCATACTTTTCACAGTCTGGATTTTCTCTCATGAATTTCTCAAGGGGCTATCTGGAGGGGAAACTATTTCTCACCATAACAAACAACCAAAGCCTTCATCGTTAAAAATAAAGCACTAACATGGCCCTACAATGGCCCCCTTTGTCGAGTCACATCTGTTTAGATCACCAGAAATGATAAGCCTTTACTTTTGAATGTAACTTTCTTTTATCAAAATAGGAAAGAGGACTGCAAATCATTCAGAAAAAAATCAGCATGCAGGCTAAGGCATGTGACAGCAATGCTGTTGTACGTAGCAGAATCAGATTCCATGGCCTACATGTGCAAGTGTTGGGCTTAAGCTCTTACAGCACAACTCAGGGACGGCTCTGTAGCAGAGCTTGCTGCTGTGCTAATATGAAAATAGGGTGAAATAAATATCTGCTAGATTGCAAAGCTCTGATTTCAGTGCTAATCCAAATTACCTTGTTTTTTAACTTCAGACTTAAAATCTTTTTCCCAGAAGTTGTCTGCTGGCGATTGCCAAATTGCAAAGCAAGAGGATTCACATGGGGAATGAAGGAAAATACTCTGTGAGATGTATTTGATCATCTGAGTTAAATAATCCTCAGACATCCTCAGACACCATCCCAAGTGGTAAAATTGCCGGCACACCCAGAGAATTCAGAATTGAGACTCGGCTGCATTACGCAGAGCTTTCAGACAGGGATGCTGGTGCTGAGGAAGAAGCTGCTGCCCAGAAACCTGCTGCCTGCAGCTTTGCACCTTCCAGCAAAGCTGCTCTGACAGTGCTGCTCTTCTGCAGGTGAGGAGATGGAAGCCACTGCCACTGCAGCAACGCACCTCAGCTCTGCCATTGCACTTGCCCAAATCAATCCACTCATTTGGAAGAGATGTGGCAGGGCAACAAGCTGCAGGACGGCAGGTTTAGCCCAGCTCTCCCTGGATCATAAAGCTTTCCTGGGTGCTTCTGAAAACCCGGCTCATGTGGATGCTCACCTTTACAGAAGGTCCATGCACTGAATTCATTGGGTTTGGATTCCGCAGCGTTTGGCCCAGCATTCCTACTGGCACTGAGACTTGGGGGAATTGAGGTGAACTCAGCGGGAGTGTTTAGGAAATAGGGCGAGCCGGGTCTGGGTTGATAGAAGTATTTTGTGGAGAGTCCCGCTCTCTCTGAAGTCACATCAGATTTGCTGCTGCCCTTAGTGGGACAGTGAATGGGTCCCTGGTTTCCACTGAGCTGAAACACAGCCTGCACTCATCCTCTCTCACCTGCAGCTCTTCAGCCACGGTTGCTGCATCACCACGGGAAGTTTCACCAGCGGTTAACTGAAATGTCGCAAGCCTCCAATCTGATGTGAAGCTGGAAGTAAACTCTGAATTCGCCTACGCTCACAACTGAAGGTCATGTGTTCATAAAACCATGACAGCATCTTCTCTGGATTAGAAGAGGGAGAAAAAGAGGCAAAGTTGTCTGTGATGAAGCATTCTTCCCCTTAGGAAGTCCTTCAGAGCCTCTTCAGAGGCACCATCAATAGAGATGAATTGCAGACCATTCCTCTGCACCCAACAAGGGCAATGGTTATAGAACTTCCTCTAATTACATACAATTGGTTTTGAAATTAAATGATCTGGAATATCAGTGAGTGACTCTGAGCAGCATCATTGGGTAAAGGAAAGTAGCAGCCTGTTGGAAGGAGGTAAAGGCACAGAAACAATTATGGCAGCGACTAGTTTCAAGGCTTGTGAAGACAGTATAAATGGGGCCAGTTCAATCAGTGCATGCAGATGGTTCCCCAGTTGATTCCTGCACTGCAGCGCTGTGTTCTGGCAGCTGCCAGGTGCTGGGAGCACCTTTGGCTTCTTTAAGGGCAAAGGCTGAGCAGTGTGTGCTGAGGCAAAGTGGGCAGATGTCAGTCCTTCCCATTTTCAGTGTGAAGTAATAGAAAGCAGAGCTGCTGCTTCTCTGTGCTCTCCCCAGGAGTCTGTGACTTTATTCATTCATAAATATACTGTCTGGGCTGCCCTGTCGTGCCAAGTATGCAACTGTCTGGGTAAAAATGTGCAAACAAGGTGTGCCTGATTCCTGCATGTAGTTACCATAACAAGTGCAAACATGCGGTAGGAATTTGAATACACGAATGAACAGACATCTAGATGAGCAGAGAATTGAATGCAGAGACCTGATTTGAGCAACACGTCGTGGCATCTGTTTGTGTAAATTATGTGCACCACTGCACACAGATTTTGAAACTGTTTCTGAGGAATGTAGGTATTTCTATGTATTAGACCACAAAGCTTATCTGAGTTCCCCTTTTTAACCACAGTGATGAGATCACTGGAAAAAGAGTTACCCACTGCTCATCATCCTTCCTCATTTTGTATGTGTTAAACATCATGCAGTGATTAGATCAGAGCTTGGCTGTCTAGGGAAAACAAGATCCAGAAATGAAGAAGGAAGGATGAGGGGACCCCTAAACTGCAGAGCTGCATTGGGAGCAGGAGGAGGGTTCCCTGCATGTGCACTGCAAAGAGATGGAAAACATACAGAATCCAGCTCCTGAGCTCCAGGAGCCCACAGCTTTTGGGGGGGGGAGAGGCGGCCGGTCTGGGAAGGACCTCGGTGCCCTCTCCAAGCCACCCATCCTTTGTCACTGCCATGAACAGCAGCAGGATGGAGCCTAAAGCAGCACAACGCCGCAGGGATCTCTGCTTGCCGACCCCTGGCTGCTCCATCCCTGGGGGTCTGTGCCAGAGATTCTTCTTTCAGGGCTGTTGCATTTTTTGCTGTATCGTACGTGCGCCCTTCCTCGTGCACTTTCCTCAGACAGAGGGCAAGAAAGGACTCTGACCCCTGGGGCGCCCCGACCTGCAGCCAGCCTGGAGCTGCAAACCTGTCCATTACCGTGCTTATTGTGCTTAATGCTGTCTGCTCTGCCACTTCTAAATGTGGTTTACAAATACCTGGACTTGGCCACAAGCATGTGCAGTCTGAGACCAGATGAGAGCCTGCTGCTTGCTGAGCATTTCCAGCTCAGCTGTTGTTTGGGCTCCTGGGTAGCATCAGGGCTGCCCGTGCTCCTCAGCTCCACTGTAGCAGCAGACGTTTCTGTTATTACTGTGCTGTGCTGAAGAGGAAATGCTGTTTCCTTTTTTGGAGCTTTTAAAGACTCTTATTTTTCAAAGTGTCTTTTAGAAATGCAGCTTGGAAAATGGTGTTTGATTAGCATATGCTCACTGCCACCGGACAGCTGAAGCAATGGAACGAGGGCAAACTATGTTTAGTGACGTAATGCGTGCAAAAAATTCTGGGGAAAAAATTTAATATAATAATAAAAAAAAAGACATGGAACGCAAATGATTTGTCTTCTTGCAGGGTTACATGCAGCACAAAGGAGTTCACAGGCTTGGTTTACCGCATCAGCCAACAAATAACTGTGTCAGCATATACTTGGGCACAGTGCGTGCAGGGCTGGGTGCAACACCCCGAGCTGACAAGAAAAGGGACGAGGGCTGACATGGACGTGTGCCTGCAGAGAGCAGCGTAACCTTGGGGCACAGCTGTTACTTCCCCAGCATCCCCTTTTTCCTTGTTACTTTGCTGTCATAGAAGAATGTTGGGGATGCTGAGTGTGACCCTACCATAACCCTGAGAAAGTAGGCTGTGCTGCAGGTGCCTGGGCACAATGAACGTGATGGTACAGCTGTGCATTATTTCTCACTTTTATATTTTGTCTTGAATCTTTTCACCCATTTATGGATGCTTCTGCTGCCTTAAGTCCCCATCCACTTTCGGTTCCCTGTAGGTGTCAGTGCCAAGTGGGGCACCGTTACAAAACAGAGGTGTTGAAGTCCCCCCACACGCTCTGCCTCCAAGCTGCACTCCATCCCCCGGGGTTTGGCTGGGCAGAGGAAGGCACCCATTTGGCCTTCAGGAGCCGTGCTGTCCTCCCCTGCCCAGCACAGCCCCTGCCGATGGCTGGCAGCTGCTCCTGGGGCAGCAGGATGTGGCCCTGCCTGCCTCGGCCCCCTGCACAGCTGGCTTCCCCCCATGGCAGTGATGGTGCTGCCTGCTGCTCCTTGCTCTGCTTTGAATTAACTTGCGAGGGGCAAGGAGGGGAGTGGGAAGTTGGAGTGTGGGGCAGGTAGCTGAGCAGGGCTGTGCCCAGGGCCTGCTGTGAGCACACGAGCATCTGAGCAAAGCTGTCTGCGTGGCTGCAGGAGCGTGGAGCTCTCAGAGCTCACAGATGGGGCTGAGACCTCAAGGAGGATGCACAGTGAGCGCCTTGCTGCCCTGCATCTAAGTGCCTGTGCCACCAGCACTGCGTGCCCTGCACAGCTGCAGGACCTGGGCTTCTGCTGTCAGACGCAGTGGAGAGCAGCCAAGGAGAGCAACAAGCTGTTGTCGCGTGCAGAGGCAGTTGAGAAGGAGCAGCCCCAGTGGTGCCCCAGGCCTGCAGCCCTTTGAGGCCCGGGCTGCTTAGCACAAGCAGGAGGAGCTGTGCACACCACAGTCTGGAGGACATCCATCTATCAAAGAGATTCTAGTTTTCCTGCCCTGCCTGGGTGCAGGGAGGGCCAGTGCCCACTCAGCTGGGCTGGAATGGGCAGCCGTGCTGCGAGCTGCCACAGCTGTGGTTGTGGTGTGGTTCTCAGGCTATTTCTGAAGCTAGAAATACAAGTGTAACCAAGTCTTCAGCATTTTCCCACACCTTTCATGTGACGGGACTGTGCCCAGTCATAGGACTCAGTCAGTAGAACCCAATGAATTGTCACAGTTTCACTTCCCTGGTGTTCTTTTCCTTCCTTTTTGGAGGCAGCAGCGCTGTTGGTTCCCTCTGCTACCGTGATAGCTGCCTGGGGATCTGCGCGGTTGGGCTCCCTTCCGAGACAGGACTGCCATCAGAGGATTCTCTGCGGTTTGGGGCAGTTCCTGCAGGCACATCGTGCCCTTCTCGCTCTCTCCAGGTGTGTTTCACATCAGCTGATCAGTGTCTTAAGATACAGAACCAACTGTTGGAGTGAAAAAAAAGAGCTTGCAGATCGTTGTGTGCGCAGCTCTCGCCTCGGTGGGCGCCCACCTGTTCAGATCAACATGTAAAAGCAGAGAAACGTACAGCAGTTTGTATCTTTATAGTGAGATGCTTACAGAAGGGCAAACCCCTGTGTGCACTGCTTACACAGCCACAGCTCTTGGATCTCTCTGTGAGTCTTTGCTCCTCTGCTGCATGAAGGGCACGACCTGGGGAGCTGCACAGCAAACATGCAGAGAAAATCACTGCTAGAAAATGCTTTGATTGTACGTATACATCTCAAAATGGATAGGGAGGAACAGGCTCGCTGCTTCAATTGCAGTCATGGCCGTGGCACTAATCACTACGAGTGCTCAAGCAGCTGTATGATTTTTAAGTTGCTGATGTTCCTTTAGTTCTAACACAATTAGAGTGTTAATTAAAAAAGCATACCAAAATGAACTGCTCCTAGGAGAACCGAGAACCTGTCATTTGCCTGAAAACCCTGGATTATAAACTGCTTCTTCTACTTTTGCTGCCAAATATGCAAAGTAAATTGCACAATCTCAGGGATGCAGTTCAGCCGCTTCATGTTTTTCTTTCTCCAATTGAAAAGAAACATTTTCTTCAATCTGAGGGGGAGGCACTTGTTTTTCTTGCAGTTTAGCACATGTGGGCCCTCATCAACAGCAACAAAACAACTTTTCCACCATTTCTTATCTCAGTTTATCACGAGGTTTTGATTTTTCTTAGACAACGGTTGTTTGCTTGCTTTGTTTGTTTGCTGTAATTTCTGAGTTCTTTTTCTTAGTAGAATTTAGCAATAAAAGCAGCAATCACAGTTGTGTGTTGCACTGGGTCTATTTCCCATCCTTGCTTAGTCGTGAGAATTCTCTCAGCACGTGGGACTGTTCCCATCCAGATTGCTCTCTTCCGTAGCTGTCAAATACCCAAATCCTCGTGCCCAGCCTTCATCCATGGATTGCACAATCAATTACTGCTGCATGACAGATGCTGCGATCCTTTCTTATCAGTCAGTTAGCACTTTTTTTTTAATTGCGAGATTATAAAATGTTGGATCATGTTTCACCAGTGCTGTGGTACATCCCATGAGAAAGGGATGGGGAATTTTTAGAAACCTATCACAATAAATCCTTAAAATCATGTGCCTGCGACTCAGTTACTGAGAATGGTTTATGGGTGCCATCTCCTCAGTGGGAAGGGGAAGTTGGCATAGGATGTGGGTGTTTTGTGGTGAATGTTTATTGCAGAAAGCTTCCACAATGTCTTTAGAGCATTTAGAATCTGATGGGCTTAAAATCTGTTTCTATTATATAAATGAGAATGGTTCTGGCGTTCAGTCATGTTTGTATATAAGTTGTGCTGACAGCTCGGTGGCCACCAAAAGTGCCCAAGTCTTGTTCCACGGGTGGGACAGCCAGTTGCACATCTCCTCCACAGACTTTGTAGCCTGCCAGCCATCCCAGCAGAGCATCCCACCCCTACAGCACTTCAGCCCCATCGAGATGGAGAACTGTTTTGCTGCTGCCGAAGTTGGTGGGTTTGTCCCCCAAAGCGTATAGCCACAAAAAAAGAGAAACATGGCGTGGATTCCTACAATAACTGAGATTGGAAGGGGCCTCTGGGGATCCCTGTGGTCCCTCTGGGACTGACAGGTAGATCGATTTTAGTGCAGAAAAGGACTGTGAGTGCTGACAGGAACTGTTTCTTGGGACCCGTGTCAGGTCCTTCTGAAATCAGCACAGAAACTGCTTTAAACACTGAGTGGCAGATCTGGTCCCAGTGGACATTCCTAACCTTGAACTCCTGACAACTGGGCAGCTGGTGTAAGCTCCTGGTAGGGACATGGCCCCCTCCAGGGCCTCTTTCAGCAGTCCTGAGGGGCACCTGGGGATGTAAGCGAGCTGCAGATCCATCTCAGTCTACCAGCCTTTGTGATCCCCTCTGTGATCTGCCTGGTGCTGTGAGGAACCTTCAACTCGGCAAGGAGCTTAAGGTGCCTGAGATGAAATACAAACTGAAACGAGTTCTTGTTTTCTTCCTCGTTTCAGAAAAAAAAGCGTTTGTTGAGGGAGATTTCAGTCTGTGATAAAACAAACGACCTGTGAGTTCATCACATCTCTTCAGGGTTTGCTGCAGCTCAGAGCCCGAGTGCTGTTTTATGGAGGGTTCTGATGCTTCTGCTGCACGGCTCGACTGTGAGCAGAGGAGGGCTCGGCCAGCAGGACTTAAGCCCAGAAGCTGAAAGCATTAGGCTGTTACCATTATGTGGGTTTACTTGCCCTCAAGATATGTTAAGAGACAAGAACTTGGGAGTTTCCAGGAAATCCACCCAAAAACAGCCCGCAACAGAAGAGCAGCATCTGTGACACACCGTGCCGTGAGACTGCAGCAGTGGAAAGCAGCTGGATTTAACTTTCTAAGGCTCCTTCTTCCTTCAAAGAAAATCAGCAGTTAAAAAAGCTGCAGTCATTTTGCAGGTGGAATTCAGCCCCCACCACAAGTGCTGGGAACTGCAAAGCAAATGTAGAGCAGAAAGGTGCAGGCACTCCATGGTAGTGGTGTGCTGGTGAGCTTTGTGACCAAACGTGTGGCCTGAGCTGAGCTGCCTCCTGCCATTGCTCCTGCCTGTTCCGTGCAGGAGATTCCGTGCAGGAGCCCATGTGGTTGCAGCACAGGGTGTCTCATGGCAGTGTTTATGGATGTGAAAGTGTTATCAGCCCACCGTGTGTGCAAGGTGAAATCTGAGGGCTGAGCTACCCATCTGCATGAAGGCTTTATTCACAGCCTTTTCTAAGCAAAAATGTTGAGACAATGCAGAATATTGACTTTTGCACATCTAGGCCACCTGGATGTGTTAGACAGATCAGGCTTACGTCCTTTCAAACTGATGTCAAAACCTCTCTTTCACTAATGCAGGCCTGGAATTGCCCTGCACCCTTCAAGCACCGTATGGGCAGAGTGGGGTGTTGAATCCCGCTGCATTCTGCCCTTGCTAACAACTCCATTTCTCAGTTCTGCATCTCAGCCAGGTGTCATTTTTTGAGGCTGTTCAAAGGAGAGGGAGACAAAGTAGTGCATTGCAAGAGAGTGGCTGCTCTGAGATGCTGCGGGGCTGCAGTGCTGCTACTCATGCTTCTGGTGTCCAGAGCCCCCGCAGCCCTCTCTCACATCATCATCTTGTAAAGCTGATGTCGAGTTCCTGACAGGCTCCTAATCCGTCCTGACATGCACACAGATGCTCAGTTGAGTGTCATTTCCTGCTCTGAGGAGCCCAGATTGTTCCTGACTGGCCCTTGGGTTTGAGCAATCAGTTTAATTTTTCTCTCTCATTTATTTATTTGCCTAAGGGAGCTGTGCCTCAGCCCCCTCCTGTAAATCTCCTTATCATACGGCATGCCAAATGCACTCAGCAAGGGCAGGGGCTTTATTTACGAGCTGTATTGCTGCTAGGTTCCACGATGCTGCAGCACAGGTTTGCTCTGGGTACTTTGCAGTTCCAGGCTTTGCTTGCATGCACCCTCCTTGCTCTGCACAGTTTCTGCAGGAGCCCACTGCTGTTGAACCAAAGCAAGATTTAGGCTTAGAGTGAAGAGCAAAGTGTGATTCCTTTCCAGGTTGCTTGCTTCTGCTTTCACACCTAGGACAGCCAGACCGCAGCAGGAACCTGGCTGGGGCCGCGCAGTGGAGCTGCAGCAGCAGCAGCTGTCTTGGGACCGCTTCGTCTGCTCACTCTTCAGAAGGGAATACTCCACTCACAG